GAGACGAGCTGGGACCGGCTCGGCCACGCTGAGGTAAAATGGCTGCCCTGAGGGCACGGGGAACTGAATCCAGGCTTGGGTCCACTGCTCAGCCCTGCGAGCGTTCTGCTTGCGTGTCCCCTTCAGCGGAGCGTTACAGTTAAGTTTTAGGGCTGTTGGGTTTTGTGTGTGGGTTTTTTTTTTTTCCCCTAACACTGTGCTCTCCCGTTTCTAAACGCTATATCGTGGTTCTCGGGGGTTTTTACGTCAGACTAATCTCGCGGTCTGCTCTGGGAGGACACTGAAATCTACTTCGCAGGCTGAGCACGATGACTGTGGACAGAACAAATCTTAAGAATGTACTTGGCTTTGTTTTGTGTCCACGTAAGCTAATAAAAGTGGGGGAACATTTGAGGTAGAGGCAAAGTCACATCTCAAGTGGACATGTTTATGAAAACGTTGTCTCCTGAGGGCTGTGTGCTCCCGCAGCAGCGCGTGCTATATGGTGCGTCTTCGGAGGTTTGATGTGGAGTTACGTGAGAAATGCATACAAAAGAGGGCAGGAAAGGATTTCCTGGGGAAGAAGCAAGGAAATAATGTACAGCTGTGTTACGTTTATGAGATTATAATTCAAATAAAGTCACTTTAAAACACCATTGTATTGCTCTAGTTTGTCACAAAGCCCTAAAAGATGCGTTAAGGCAGCGAACGGAGCTTCAGACAGACAAACCGCTTCAGCGTGCCCCACGCCCTTGGAGCCCAGCAGCTCTTCCCTGGTGCGTCCCGCCTCGCCCGGACCCAGCACGGCTCGTTCCTCCGCTCGCGCTTGGCTGCGTGGACTGCAGGTCGCAGATTGCTTTTGAAGCGAGAATTTTTTTGTACGATCCACGAGCTGTAACAGATGTGGGAGGGATACTTCTAAAAACGTTTGAAATAGTTGTACTTCCGCAATCTGGATGTCTCGCATTTATTTTTCCCTTGGTGTCTTCCGTATCGGCACAAGCGAGTCCACGTGGTGCCGGAAAGGTTGAGTCACTGCAACCGCCGTGATGGGGTTGAAGTAGTATCTGAGTGTGTAGAAAAACCCTTTAGGCTCCTAAGTTAATTAAGGGATTTCGGAAAATGTGTCATGCCTCTTCGGTAGAGTCTGTCATGCATACTTCATTTTTCATGTGTTAATTAAAAATGCATATTCCTCCAGAAAACAGCAATCCTGGTGACTTACAGTTAGAAAAATATTTTCGGTATAACATCATAACGTTTGACTGTTACAAATGCCTTTCATTTTTCTCTCGTGTAGGTTAAAATACGGTAATGTGCTCTGCTCTAGTGATGTTTAACATCGGTAATACCCATGTTGGATTGCTAGTGGTTTAAATAAAGACTCCTATCAATCACTGCAAGGTGGTGTGAGAAAGCATCTTCAGGAGTGGTGGTTTGCAAAGTATAAACCACCGACTATCTAGGGATTTTCTGCATCTCTAAAAGAGCGTTAGGGTTTCACAGTCCCGTTCGTAGCGGAATACAAACTGGTAAGACGGGGGCTGCAGTGCCCCTGTGGTTCCAGCCTTGATCTACGTGACTTCAGGGGGTGCTTTTAGGTAAATACATGTTTTTTGAACCAGCACAATTCAACGAGCTAATTCGGTTATTTGCCAGCTCAGTCGAAATACTTGTTGCGTAGTAAAGAAAAAAAGACAAGAACAACTCCCCTCCCCACAAAAAAACAAATCTCAAAGACCCCAAATATGCTCTTCCCAGGTGTGGAGAAGGCTCCATCCTTTGCCAAGAAACGGGTCTTTATTTTCAAAAGCGTATTAAGCTGCTGAAGGTTATTCTTAAAGGCGTCATAAAATAATGGTAAGTCTGCCTGGTTTGCGAAAACCCTATTGCATAATTTCTTTCGTGTGTTAATAATCCTCGTAACTGCTTTAAATGATTGCCTTAATTACCTTAATGAAGTGTCTCTTTATAGAAATACTGAATGTTTTCTTCTTCATTACCTTTTTTAGCTCTGTGTTATCAGCGGAGCGCTTAAAACAGTTGGACAAGCTGCAGAACATTTATTTGCTTTGTCAGTCGCTTCTGGCTTTCTGGCAAAATGTATATGTGGAGAATCATTAAACATTAATTATGTAGAAAATAAATTGCTGGGAAGGAAATGGCAAATAATCCTGCTAAAAGAGAAGGCCAACTACTGTAAAATGACAAGCTTTCATTCTCAAAATGAGAGAAATGAAGAGCAGGGCTTTCAAACGGAGAAGATTGATGAATAACGCCAAGCATTAACCGTGGAACCCGGTACGGGAAGCGTCTCGGCGTGCTGAACTCACCCAGGTGGAGATACGCTGGAGAACACTTGCGGCCGCTCCTCAGTCTGCTTTAGGTCTTATCAGGTAGAGAAAGAAAAACAGCAACTTTGGTTTGGCCCTTTCTGGCATTTTCACAGCCTGCCTTCCTCTCCCCTCCGTCCCCAGGCCTCTTCCCGCGGTGTTGAAATGCACTCTCGCGCCCTTTGCAAATAACCATCCCGGTGCCGCAGGTGGGTCTTTTTACGCAAAGGTACTGAAATGCTTTGTAACGGGGTCACTGCTCGTTTCTATTTATGACGAAACAGAGGCATTGGCAGCAACGTGTTTTTCCCAAGGTGAGCTGGCAGGGTTAGGGGCAGAGCAGGGACCGCAGCCCACGGCTGAGCCGGGTGGGGTGGGTTGCAGTTCTGCCTGCTGCCTTTCGTCGCCTTCAGCACTCGCCTGGCTCTGCTAGCGAGAACCTGTTTTTCCTAAATCGCAGGCAGCCTCCTCGGTATGGTACGATCCAGCTGGGATTAGTCTTGACTGATCTCACTTTGTTGCAAAATAACCGTTCATCAAAGCTCAGATCGTTTGGAAGAAAAGGGTCATTTTTAAAATGGCGTCTTAAGTTGTAACGTTTTTTTTGGAGAACTAAGCTTTGAATTGCCCAAACTTGCTGTTTCCCTCCTATAACAGTCGTTCTGAATATGCTGCTTGAGTGGTTTCTTCTGGCATTTCAACAGACACACGAAACTGCACGGAAAGTGTCTTTGGAGCTTGAAATATTAAGCTGATATTTTGGGGCCCTTCAATTTTAAATAGTGCCTCAGTGTTGTCAAAGTTATTAACTTGCATGTGCAAAAAATGCAAAAATACCGTCTGATTTTTTTCAGAGAAACTCTGAGTACGTTGATGAGACAAGGAAAGCGTGTGTAAGTTTGAAAATATTTCCCACTGTCCTGGTTTCGGCTGGGATAGAGTTAATTTTCTTCCTAGAAGCTGGTACGGTGCTGTGTTTTGGATGTAGTATAAGAATAATGTTGATAACACCCCGATGGTTTAGTTGTTGCTGAGCAGTGCTTGCACTAGTCAAGGACTTTTCAGCTTCTCCTGCCCTGCCAGCGAGAAGCTGGGAGGGGGCAGAGCCAGGACAGCTGACCCAAAC